CTGTTAAAGAATAAGTCAAGTATTTCAGTATCGTCAAGCCCCTCACTCCCCCCTATATATAATTATATTTTTTAATGGTTATTAGTAAATTAACTTTGAATTAAACTAATATTATTTAATAATATTTATAGTATATATATATATAAAATACTATTAATGAGTTGAAAAAACAATAGCACTTAAACTATCTTTTCAGTCTCCGCGCGAGCTTCTTCTCTTTCTTTAACTTCTTGTGCTATTCTTTCTTTTTCTTGAGATAAAAGTTGTAAATTTCTTTCTAATTCAAGTTTCTCATCTTCTAAAAACAGATATTTTCGGTGAGCTTCTTGAGCCGCAGCATAAGCAGCTTCTTTTACTTGTTCTGCTTGAAGTGTTGCTTTTCTTGCTTTTTCAATTTCCTTTTCTAATCTTTCTAGTTTTATTTTTAGCTGAGCTTCTTTCTCTTCTTGTGTTTCAATTTTGTCCAGACTAATAGGTGCAACATATCCAGAAATGACTTTCCAATTGTCTGAAATTTGTTCACTGCTATTTCCATTCTCTTTTTCAATTGCTTGCACGTACCCTTCAATTTTATTTTTAATTTTTGAACATTCAAAATCATTTTTCATTACTTCTTTCTGTTGATTGTCTTCAATATCCTGTTCTTGTTCAGATGAGTTAGAAAATGATAAATCACTTAAAGAATCCATCTCTGCTTATTTAGTTTAAAAAAGTTTCAAAAAAGCAATTTTTAAATTTATTGAACTATATTAGTTTAATGTAAAAATTATTATATAATGTACAATTTACAACCAGATTTTATTGAACGATTATTTTAATGGACGAGTAAGTCTTTTTTATCTGATATTATTTAACAACTCGTAAATTTTATTAACAATAACATTACAATTTATGTAAGTAATATCATTATTTTACTCGTTAAATTAATTAATTTATTTAATCGATCAACTCGTTAATAGAAATTTATTTTTTATTATTAAAATAAAAATCATTTACCTTTCTTTAATTTCATTTGTATGTTATCTAATTATAAAAAA